AGAGAGAGAGAGAGAGAGAGAGAGAGAGAGAGAGAGAGAGAGAGAGAGAGACTATATACTTAAAACAATTATTGTTGAACATCAATCAAAACAAATTTTTTCTTTGGCTATGGAATGACTTAAGTTTGCCATCGTATTCATGTCACTAATCACAGCTTGACAACATCGAGAAAGACAACACAAATTAAGGTGGCAGCCCACACTTAGTACACACATTAAACTATTTTGGCAATCTTGATTCACGCTAGGATTTGCATAAATTTAGACTAAATGTAGTTCATACACTAAAGCTACCATAAAGACATTAAAACTATCCCCAAAACAAATTATAAGCCAATCATACAGCCGTTTTCTAATGGCTAGATATTTGTTTGTTCATGGATTTTTTCAATTGTGTGGTAGTTCGTTATTTTATAACTTTTTTTGTTGCAAAATACAAATCTCAACATTTCCACACTTGTGCATGACTTAATGTTATAATTTCTCAAGAGCAAATTAAATCAGATAAAATATTAGAACAAACTACAGCCACAGCCATTCTAATCATTTTTGCCAAAAGAATTACGACAAAATATATAGACAAACAAAAAATAACACCTGAAAAAGTAAGGCATATAATATGTGTATTGAATTTGTTAAAGATTTTAGACCTTTAGTTTTGTACAAGTATTTTTTTATGTAACTAATTGCATAACAAAAAACACCAAAAGTACAGTTTATTTTACTTGCTAGAGATCAAACTCCAAGGATATACCTTCCTTGAAATAATTGTTTAAAATGTGGTAAATAGAGAATTTCTTAAACTACATGCATATTCAAACCAGTCAGTATCACTACTCCCTACTTTATTTTTCTGATCCAGTGGCCATCTGAGTTTAAGCTCTGCGGCCTGTCGATATGGAAAGAATTTACAGGTTTATTTCAGCAGTGTTTTGTCACTGTATAGTGTTCCCAACATCTGGGGAGGCAAGTAGGTAGGTACTACCCATGTCGTTAAGTGCAGGGTAGGTACAGAGGTGGTGTGAGACCATTTCATCCCACTTTACAGATCGTGCTCAGGTAAGAATTCAATGGGATGTACCGTGTTCGCGAGTGGAAGATAGTGACCCATTTTCTTCTACTCAGGGAATTTAGTGAATCTTTTGAGTTGGGAGCAGTCATATGTGTGCAAATACAGTTCTTCCAGTTTTGCCCATTGCCAATCCATTCAGCCACTGTTCCCTGATGTTGCACTTGATGATTTTCTTGACTGTCTGTTGTGATACTGGGTTTCGGGGTTTGTGATGCTCCCTTCTTCACAAGGATGTCTACTCTGCTGTCCCAGAGGTTTTATGCACCCCGCATAGTTTAGCAAAATTTGACCATTTTTTGCACAATTTCTGATTATTTTCCTTTATCATTCTTTGTTAAAATTAACAGAATCGCATAATTTTCCATTTTTGGGCTCAGTTTACATAATTTCATTATTTTTTTTTGCATAAAACCGTGGGGACAGACTCTGTCATTTCCTGAGATGTTGCTGAGGCCAGGTATGCACTGTAAAGTCAGGTCGATGGCATCTATAGGTCTGCACGAAGGTGTTGATTGTTAGTGCCAGAGATTGGTAGGTTGGGCTTTTGAAATTCATGTTTTCCAAAGCTTGGAGTAGTGATTTTTCCATCTGTGAAGATCCCAGTGTCATAGATTTTGTCTGAGTTTATACAATATGTCGTTCAGGTAGAGGATTGCTGCTTCAAAGGGGATGGCTTCTGCCTCATAATTTGTAAAAGAAGTACAGCAGGCATCAAAGAGTTCTTCACACATCTTGTCAGGATGTTCTATTCTTCTCCAAAAGTCTGCCTTAACATAACAAATTAATAGTTCCCTTAAAGGCATATCCATCAGATACAGAGTAAAGATCAAAAAATCATTCGCGTAGAGTCAATAGTTTTATAAACTGTGGTCTTCAGTTTTACAGGGTCACATTCTTTTTCCCTGTCTCATTTAGGAGGGAAGTTTTGATGTTGGCATTCTTGATGTTTGTGTTTGGGGGGAGTTCTGGTCTCAAGTTTCATCATCTCTCTCTAATGTGGAAGGTGGTGTTCTTTTTCTTGTTCAACAGCCGTGTCAAGCATAGATCTCCCATGGATGCATTTCTTCGCCGGTCGCCTCTGTTCAATGAGCTTTGTTTGGGTGGTTTGTGTCTAGTCTCTTGTAGCGCTCACTCATCTCCACTACCGTTGCCTCTCTCCTCAGGCCCAAGGGTTCCTGGTTCGTGTATTTCATTAGTTACAGTTGAGCTAAAAACTCCTGAAATTTATCTAACAGCTAGCTTGATTCTGTATTTTATCAAGGGACCTCTGGGTTTGTTTGCTGCAAATTGTCTGTAGGCCTAGGTGTTGTATTCTATCGCAGAGCATATAGCCAACATATAAAATACAGCAGCCTGTGTGTTTTCCGCTCCTCATGAAGTACTCTGATTCAATACTTGCTTCCTAATAAAGACCACATCGTAAAGTTTAAAAAATCTTAATCAAAGAATTTATATTTAAAGCTATGACAATTCTCAGTATGGACTGCCACGTTGCAGACCTTTGGAGAGGGAAGGGGATGGGAGGCTGTCCAGCACGATATGTACATACCTGAATACGAATCATCCCCAACAGCTTCGTCCATATAAACCATTTCTTGATTACATTCTGAGGCAGAAAATAAAACAACAAAATTGCCACTTGATCACTTGGAGAGTCAAACAACACATTGCACGCATTTGTAAATAAAAAGAGGGCACTACTTGGATATGGTGGTCCCGACTTTTGTGACAGGGATAACCCAGAGAAAATCTAGAATCTAGTTTTGACCCCAACAACGATTACTTCTGGTTCCAAGTCTAAACGATTACTTTTAATGATTCGCGTGCCGGAGAGATAGCCGGAGAGAAACCTAATTGCAAAACATCAAATCATGGTCCAATTCAGGGGGGCATGCCCCCCTGAAACACCCCAAGTTTTGTTTTTTTTAAGTCAGGGAGGCAACCCCCCTTGCCTTGTGAAAAACAAGTGAAATTTAAGTGCTCATTTTATAGGCTAGATTTAGATCTAGTCTAAGGCTATTGATAAAACATAAAACATTGATACCGACTAGATCTATTTAAATCAGTATCGATATTTCAGTAGGCCTACTACACAAGAGTCGGGACCACCATATTATATCCAAGTAGTGCCAAAAAGAGTGATACAATTGCCATATCAAGAATGACACTGAAAAGTATGTTGTTGTTGCTGTTTTCAAATCCCTTTATCTGCGAGCATTTCGCTCTTGGCAGCGCAATGCCTCTTAAGTAACCACATCATGTCCTTGTCATCTGGTCAACGCCAGAGTAGAGCAGGCTTTGTAAGCCTCGCATTTGAATGTGTGCTCAATATTTCCAGACCCAGCATAAAATTGTCGAAGTGACTATTTCTCCAAACGTTCGGAGAAATAGTGCCGATCTTTATTTCTCCGAACGGTTTCCGGCCTCGTGATTTTTTGCCTATTTATTGCAAGAGTTCGGCGCCAACTTTCATTCTGCCTCTGGTCTAGGAACTGGGAAGGAACACCGCATGGCAAGCCCGCCTACAGACAACCTTCTGTAACACCCACCACACACCCACCACCATCATGCACATGTACACACACAAACTTATACACACATTAACTAAACATGATCAGTGGGCAACTTTTGAACGTATGACGAGCTGAGCTGTGGATGGAGAGACTGTGTGAGTGACAGAGCAGGTGAAAGTAATACAGGTTGCCCACTACGGACGGGATCGGCCGATCGAGGGCGATAGCTCGACTCGATCGCCTGAAACTGAAAACAAACACGTTTGTTTTTCAGGCGATCGAGGGCGATCGCTCGACTCGATCGCCTGAAACTGAAAACAAACACGTTTGTTTTTGAGGCGATCGAGTCGGGCGATCGGGCTGATCGGGCGATCCCATCCGTAGTGGGCACCCCGTAGAAGAATGTACGAGTGTATCCACAGGCGACAGCAACTACAAGGGGACGACACCGACCCCCCTGGCCTGGTCCACAGCTCACGAACGAAAGGAATGCGGCTAAGGCACTGTTTTGCTAATATTATTGTCCATGGTTCGCAGGGTGGCAAGGGAATGAGTGAGATTTTCTTTGTGTGTGCCTGGAGGGAGGGGTGGGGTGTGGAAGTCATGCAGACGGAGATGAGACACGAGAGAGAACATGGGAATTGAATGAATGAGTGAAACTGAAAGAGAGGAACGACTCATGAGCCCTGGAGTGAATGGATCATGTGTTTCTATTTTTGTATACTTTGAACTGTTACTGAATAAAGGCTGAAATAAAGCCCGAAAAACAAACACACACGTGCTCCTCACTCTCCACTTACACACTTACTACCACACACAGACACACTCACACATGCACACACACACACACACACACAGGAGCAAATTTTTAGGTCTGGATCTATATCTATTTCAATTTTCAAGAGCTAGTCTAGAGATTTTTAGATAAGTGTAAAAACGTGAAAAATAAAAGTTTCACAACCGAATGAAATCAAAATTAGAACAGCCCATAAACAACCACAAAAATTAACAAATAAGGGCGTGAGTCCACCTGTCCGAAGAAGATTGGCTGTTTTAACTACTTAATGTGCGTAATTTTAAAACAAAGTACAGGATATTACATGTAAATTATGGAATCACACACATTAAGGGGCCTGCCAGTGTCAGTACATGTAATCGATTTTGGTGGAACGTACGCTCTAACATGTATATATTTAGAATCTAATGAAGGTAGGACCATCAAATTAAATGATGTTACACTATACAACATCCCCTCGGCCCCCCTTTTTTTCCCCAACAAAAAAAAATTGATAGAAAAACAACACATCAGAACAATAACAAGAAAGAAAAAAATACACACTAACAAAATAAAACTCCACAAAGAGGAAAAAATAAAAGTAACTGTAACGTATTCAACAAATAATCGTGGTGACAGCAAGTGAGAAAGAGACGAAGTGGAGCTTGGTGAACTTTCTTTCAAAAGTAAGGAGGTTCGGTTTCTTTCTTTTTTTATTTTTATTTTTTATTTGACTTTTTTTCCCCCGATTCGGTGACCAAAAAATGCCCAAAAATCGAGCCACGATTGATTGGTCGCGGCCGCGACAAACGCAGATGCTAGTTCTATGTGTCGTCATCAATAACCCTCCGTAGATCTAGACAGCACACGAGTGAACACAAGACATAAAGTTTAAGAGCAGCACCCTTCACAGGCATATCTCTAGCGAAAAACTGTTTGGAACTGTAGCATTTCTTTATATAAATATTTACTGCGGACATTTTTTGGACCGATTGAACCATATTGTATACAAACAATCTTTGGTAGGCCTATACTATAATTATAGATCTATATAATATCCTAAATTTGCGGGAAAGGATGTGATTTCAGAGTGTTCGGAGAAATAGTGCCCAGCTTTATTTTCCCGAACGTTCGGAGAAATAGTGGCGGCCTATTTGGCCTAAAATTGTAGAGGCGTAAGATCTACTACTAGAAAATCTAGATCTAGATCCAGCCTAGATTATCATGTAGAGATTCTAGGTCTAGATTTCTAGATCTCTACATATTGTAATCTACACTGCTTACATCTGCCAGTGGACGAGTCTAGATCTAGATAGAGATCTAGGTCTAGATCTAGATCTAGAATCGAGTGATCTTATACTTTAGCACGTTAAAATCTTCAATTGAGGACTTCCGAAACGAGCGACCCCTATTAGATCTGTATCTAAATTCTTTATATCATCAAGAACGGAACAACGGAAAACCAGATCGACCACTTTTGCATCTCCCGAAAGTTTAGACGCTCACTGGAGGACGTCCGAGTCTTACGAGGAGCAGACGTCGCATCAGACCACCATTTGATCCTTGGAAAG